CCACCAAAAATGCAAACTTCTCACCAAGGTGATCTTTTGAAGGCATCAACCCTGTGTCACTAGTTTATATAGTTGATTCAAACTCCAAAAGGGCAACGCTCCACTCCAAATGTGCCTCATTGAAGATTATCAGGTTGGTTTTTTTCCCATATTGAAAGTATTCCACGTACATTGTTCTCTTCTGGCCATCAGTGCTGGGGAGGATCTATCCTCTTCTGCAGTGCACCTGGCTGCAATCAATAATTCTGTAATGCCAGGGAGCCAAAAGCCCTCTCTGGAATGGAGAAGCCCTGTTGAGCCCGTTGGACACCCTCATCAACACAGAGAAAGGCATCTCCATCCTCCCATTCTCTCAAGGCATTTAGGTCTCCGTTTTGGAAGTATTTTCCTTAAATTGGAACAGCTATTGTTACTAACATGTTCTGCAATTACTTTCTAGAAACGATGGCACAAAGGAGAGTTCAGGACTCTGCCCATTTTGCTATTATTTCAAAATAAAATTAGATTTTAGATCTCCTGCCCATCAAGGGCAGCATTCACCACTTGTTCTACTGGGAACAATTTGTTAAATGCACACTCCTTCAGACGCCCTTTCCATCATTAGTGTTTCTCTTTAGAAACTTGGGATTTCTCTGTGAGATTTGATTTAATGCTTTAGTTACAGACTGTTACCACAGAACTGCTTTCCATGCCCCTTCTCAAATGTTGCATGTTGACTAACACAGCCCTGGATCACCTGTAAGCACAAGGTATCTCCCCCATGACCAACTCTTTCCCAGGAACTGGGGGTTCCTGTCCCATTGGGTTGGTCTTGCTCCATCAGATCAGACCACCCTTCCCACCCCAGCAGCTCCCCCAGGCCCCACATCACCAGTTCAGTCCTTCCAGCCCACCATCACCATCACACCACCCCCATGTCCAAGCAATTAAAACATCCTGCTGTGAATTTATGCAGTTAACAAAATTTTTGGCTACCACGCAGAAGACTTGCTCATGTACAAAGGATCTCCTCCTACCCCTCCCCTCACAGTAGACAGGGCACCACAATGGCATCCTCTTCCTCTCCAAAACCAGCTATAAAAAGAAAATCCACAGCAGATGTTGGGGTTTTTAACCATAACGGGAGCCTCACAGGAAATCAATGTCACGATCTTGCCCTGAAAAAGCACCCCCAGTCTCTGCACTGGGGTGCAAGTGGGAGAACCCCATCTCCCCCTGTGCCAGGGGACATCCAGCAGGAGCTCTTGAAGGGTGACGCTTACCTAGAGGGCTCCAAGGCTGTGGAACAGCCCTAGGCATCGACTGCTATTTATAGAGAACACGCAAGAGAAAGGATTGTGTTTCAGGAGACAAAAGGCTCAAGTTTGTGACTTCAGTTTCGCATTGCTCAAACTGGGAATAATTAAACCCTGGTTTTCAATAGCCACTTCAAAATGAACGTTCTCTGGGATGCAGAGAACACTGAAAGTGGGAAGACACTTTTTATTTAACCTCAAAAACCTATTTTTGCTCAAGAATCCTAATTCTCCCCGGCTGGAACTTTCTCTTCCTCCTGGCATGGGTGGGAGCAATGGAAGATGAAGGAAAAAAAGAGGAAAATAAATGGGGAGGAACAGCCAGGGCCTCTCGTGTGAGCTATAGAGAATAAAGGAGACAAAGAATCTCCAGGAGATCCCCCAAGTCCTGCAAACCAGGTGAAAGCACCTCCTCACCCTGCGAAGATCTGAGGGGAAGCACAAAACTTACCCACACACAAAGGACACCAATTTTAATCACATGCTCCAGACAAAAACCCATAGTCAGCCCCATAACCACCTACCATCCTACCAGAGAACTGCAAAATTGTATTTTATTTCCACTGTTTGATTTCACTGTTCTGCTCCTTCACTTTCCATCTTCTGCACACAGTTTTTACACTCCTGCTTCTGGCTGGGCTGTGAAGAGCAGCCCTCAGGGGGTGAGGAAAGGTGCAACCACAAACCGTGAGCCATCGGGTGCAGGGCAGAAATGGCCCCTCACCAGGGCCCCCTTTCCACCTAAGAGCTGAGTGGTGCCAGGTGCTGAGCATCTACCCTGAGGAGCAAAGTCCCACCAGCTGGGACCAGTCCCACCAGCAACTCCCCCTACGGCAGAGGGGCGAGGAGGGGGCTCAGCTTCTCCTCCGTTTTCTGAAATACCAACACCTGTGCTGAAATACCCATTTGAAATACCAGCATTTCAAATGGGACCCTTTCAGAAGAGACTCTCTTATGCTGTGATGTTAAAGCCACTGTTGTAGCACGTCCTTACTACAGCTTGAACCTCAAAGCATGATCCAAAGCACAAAACTCTTAAGTTTGAAATCTGCTTCTGTCCTAAAGTCACTAGAGTAAAGGAATAACGGATATAAAGGAGAAGAAAAATAAATGTGATTGAAGTTGTGTTTGTGGGATCTTGGAGCTAACAGAAGAATTCTGGCCTGCTAGAGTTAACAGCTCACCCTTCTGTGATGGGCACGCCATGCTCTGGTTCTCCAGCATGAGGAGCAGGAGCAAGACCCCAGCTGCCTTCTCTCTCCATCAGGCTCACAGATGAATGCACAGACTAGTCAGCACCTGCAGTAATCCACATTGGTGTGTGTTTTTTACATACAAAGAGACTGTAAAGTCCTTCCTCCCTGGTGTAGAAAGGAAACAATTCCAAATATTAGGTAAAACCATTTTTCTCAACCATCTACTGCTATTTCAACTCTGTTATGTAAATTCCAGTCAACCAAAAACTTGATGTTTCGTTCTGTAATAGACCCATTCAAATTTCCAGCAAACAAACAGGTTTTAATTTCTTCCTCCTTCCAATGATACATTTGGTGTTCCTCAGAATCTGGGATCACTGGATCTCCTGAGGGACACACCAGCTGAGTCCAGAGGTGCCACATTTCATACAGGCAGGAGCAGGTCCCCTGCAAAGCCCAGCAGAGCAGGCCTCTTTCAGACGGGTCACATAAAGGCCATTTCCAATTTGGGGAACATACATAATAACCTGAACTTTTACACACAGATAATCATGTGCCCCAAGTAAACTATAGTTCTGTATTAAGTTTTCAGCCCTTGTCTTCCTGGTGAATTTATCAGCTCATGTAGTTCTTGAGTAGCTGCTCCAAATTCACCTCAAAGAGGCAAGGGGTGGGGAGGGCTCTGAAGAAGCCAAGTGGGGAAAAAAAGATACTTAATTCACTTATTCAAAGTGGAGAAAGATAAAAATAACACAGAGAGAAATAAAAATATGGTTGTTTAAGAGGGAATTCAATAAAGCTACCACTGTTTGAAGAAAGCGTAAGAGGCCACAAAGGTACAGTCCATGCCTGAGCTCTTCTCACCGAGAAGACCTCTTGTGTGTGAGTGGATATACCAGGTTACCAGCAAATAAAGCAGAAGAAGCATTACCGAAGGTGGAAAATGGGCCTTGCAGGAGCCACAGGAGTTGAAGGAGACAAAAATTCCAGCCCAAAGCCATTGTGACCAAGTGGAAGAACATCCTCAGCTGTCAGTGGGTCTTTGGGTTCAAGTTCCATCATTCGCACTGTCCTAAGAAAATGCAAAGGATGCAGGAGGCCCTGCCCTGTGGCTCCTACTAGAACTGACAGGCCATACACTTTGGGTTGGTAAAAGATTCCTCTGGTTATTTTTGGAACAGAAGAATGTGGAATTATCTACAATAAGCCTTTCCTTTGCTTTGACCAGTTGCGCCGAGCAACTGCTTCTAATCTTTTTGGATGTCTCCTGGACACAGTACTGATGAAGACATGTTTTTTCATAACATAGCATTTTACTTATAATAGTATGCAAAGCCTTTCCTGAAACTTTCCTCATCAATTACCTGCCTAGAAAATGAGAAGTCGGTGTTAGAAACTGCCAGGTCCTTAATATGATTGACTGTGGCTGGTTTCAGTCAGCGAAAGGTCTCCACATAACAAATGGCTTGTCCGCTTGGTTCTCTGACAAGAAAGACTGTCGAGGCCCGAGTATCATTTCCGCTCAATCAAATCCTAATGCTGATGGAAAACCCTGGGTTTCGGTGACTCTTGATGTGCCCTGCTGGGGCATGGAGAGATGTATGGCCGCTCAACACGCACAGCGCCGAGTGGATGGGGAAGGCTCTCCTCCTCCCCAGTGCCAGCTAAACTGTTAACTATGAAAAACAAAGAGATGGATGGAAGAAGATCACTTCTACAAAATGCTTTTTATAGAAAAAAAAAAAACACAAACAAAATCCAAATAAAAGCTTGATGTATGCAAACTCAATCTGGGGAATAGCAGTAATTTGTCCCCGGTAATGGGTCTTCATGATGTCAGATACAGAAAGATTTGCACTTTATTATCAATAAGAGAGTCCAAAAGCAGTGACTTGAAGTGGCAGAAATTGGCCTTGGGATACAGTGAATACAGCACATCTCCCCTCTCACCACACAGGTGGTGTCCACAAGGTTTTAAGATGCAGTTCCAACAAATATTTTACCGTGTAATAAAACTGTTGATTATGGCATAAAGAAAGCCATAAGATTTGATTTCTCCCTTTTTTTTTTTCATACACACTGGTCAAAAGAGGACTGACTGTAGAAAAGAACAGATTATTAAACTGCAGTGTAGTAAAAATCAATATATTGTAGCTATGCTTTTCCTTTAAAACATTTTGTAGAATAATTATATCTGGAACAAAGGAAGCTCAGAACATTTCAACACTGGAGCTTTTTTTCCTTTTTTTTTTTTGGGAAGGAGGAGGAAAAAAAAAAGAAAACAGCCATAAAGAAGTTCCGATATTCATTTCTAAATTCTAACAAATACTTCGATTATACTACGCTTTGCTACATCTGGCCTTCAGCTTTGGACCTCATCCAGCTTCCTGTAGAACTAGAGGAAATCCAGCTCAAAACTTAGGTTATGTTATTTTCTAAATGGCGTAACACAAACCCCCAATTTAACTGGCATTTTCCTCTCCGTCGTTGAGTAACACAACTGAGGCAATTTTCCTGAAGAAGAGAAGCAACTCCCCTTTTTGTTTATTTAAAATCGCAAGTGCTTCCTCAGTGGCACAACCAAGCTTTCAAATAAGGAACAGCAATCGATTATTTCACTATTTCCGTGTTTCTCTTTGACAGTCCTTTAAGAATTATAATGCATCTAATCTGCACTGATAGTTACCTAAACAGAATGAGTCTGTGTAGAGAGGAATCCCAGCAGCTACAAAGACAAAAATGCTAAAAATGGCAAGGTGAAATTCTACCCTAAAGCACGACATTCTCTTAAGGCCTTGGTCTTGCAAATATTCAGCGCGTGAGTAGTCCTACGAAAGCAAGACTCAATCATCGGCTTTTTCACTGGTGGAGTTTTCTTTTATTCATATATATTTTTAGGCAACATATTATGAAAATTGGAAAAGAGGAAAAGAGACCGGTACGAGGAGGTGAGCCCACGGCCGGTGTGCACCTACGGCCTTCGACACAGCACCTCAGCTCAGAGACCTCAGCGAAGCCGGTGGCTGAGCCAAACCCCGAGTTTGGGTGACAAAGAGAAATTGCTCAAGGTTTCTCTTAGTGGCAGAAGCCAACGCTCCCAAGTGAACATCTTTCCCCTCTAGTGCAATACCCTGCAGATGGGGCTAAACCTAAAAAATAACTGCTAAGAAAAGGTTCCAGCATTTAACACAACCTATGTGCTGCTTTTCTAACCCCTCCTCCGCTCATTCTCAAATGATGATGTAAAGAATTACATAAGAAAACGAAACAAACAAACAAAAAAAAGATAAAAATTAACTTAATTTACACAACCAATAAAAAAAGTTTAAAGCAATGATAGAAAAATAATATAAAGGCTAGATACATTAAATGCCAGTTCAACAGTATTAAGCTTTGGTAGATCAGTTAAAGAGCATAGCACCAATAAAATCCAATGTCAATACAGGCTTCAGTACGCATGAGCTGTGATGAAAATGTAAATTTTGGCAAGAAAAGTAGTGTATGTTCCCTGACGCCACAGTTTCATTTCAACATCCAGCAAAAAGTCTTTAGGCTCTTTCACTTGTCGCTGAAGGTAGACAATGCCCGTGTAGGAGTTCAGCCTCCGAGTGCTGAAGTAGTTTTCTTCGTTTCCCTTGTTGATAGTAAGGATTATGTTGTCTCCAGCATAGGCAGGCGATGGTCCAATACGGAAAATATGAGCTGGGACCATAATATTGGTTTGGAAGTTCAGCTGGTAATAGGTAATGCGCACCGGGGTATTTTGGCAGTCCAGATAATTAAAACAACTGATTCGTTCACACCTCCTAAGAGATGAGAAATGAAACACATTCAGTGTCCATGTAAAAACATGGTAAGCAGGTAAAAACATGTGTATTTCAGAGCAAGACAGACAGGAGTCCCAAACTTCAGCTGTGTCATCACCAGCTGCTTGTTCTGCTTTTACAGTGCCCATAAAAGCGTTTGGAAATGATGTAATTGTCAGAGTCGAACACTAAGAAAAAGTTGATGGACATGGAGAGCTGCGTTGGGAAGCTCCACCATGAAGGAAGAGCCAGAGTCGCGCTGGAAGCAGCACGGGGCTCGGAAGAGGAGTCTGTGGTTCATCACTGACAGCACAACCCCGGGCCAACGCCCCAAGAAAATAGAAGAAATCACACTTAAAAAGGTAGCTACAAGGTGGGGATGGGAAACCAGCTCCTCAACTTGTAAAGCCATTCGATTCTATATGGCAGGAAAAGTATGTTTTAAGGTGTAAGCAGCAAAATATGGTTTCCCAAAGCACTGCCAGCCACGGAGGCAGGGAACAGGGAGGGAGATGATGGGTCTCCTGAGCCATTCCCAGACCCCTGCAGCCTGGCAAGGGCTCGTCATCCTGCTCCCCCTCAATATTTCATCCATATCTGAGGAACCGTAGTCCAAATATTAAACAGGGCCCCCCAAACCACTGTAAAAGCAGTGCACTGCGCAGCCTGGCAGCCACTGCAATGACACAAGCAGCAAAGAAGATCTTATTTTTTTTTAAAACTTAATTATAAACAGAGCCCTTTTAAAGCTGCAAGCTCTGATGACTGCAGAGTTGAAGGGCAAATGGGGGCTCTAGGGCTTGGAAGAAGGGAGAGGCAAAACCAGAGAGAAACTCTACGTGGGGAAAGTCTGTGTGCTCCAGGCACCAAAACATCTTCTTAGAGCTCTGAGCACTTACACCCACCCGCAAATTAAAGCACTACTATTAATTAGTCCACAGCCACTGGATAGGGCTTTGTGGCGACAGCAATACTTACATGTCAGACACTTTCCTGTAGTTGGACGGGCACTCGAAGGACAGGCAGCGGAAGCTGCCCTGGATGTTATAGCAAGTCTCTGCAGCTGAACAGTTATGGGTTCCTATTGCACATTCATCGACATCTAACGAGAAGAAACACAAGGGAGAAGACATGCTAAGTGCAAAAATAAGATGTAATCACAATTTATGGGCTGTGATACCATGGCATCATAGAATCACAGAATGGTTTAGGTTGGAAGGGACCTTAAAGATCATTTAGCTCCAGGGCCCTGCCATGGGCAAGGACACCTTCCACCAGACCAGGTTGCTCAAAGGAAATGGTCTGAAGTTGGGGCAGGGGAGGTTTAGATTAGATATCAGGAAGAATGACTTTCCTGAGAGGGTGGTCAGGCACTGGAACGGCCTGCCCAGGGAGGTGGTGGAGTCACCATCCCTGGAGGTATTTAAGAAACGTGTAGACGTGGCACTTCAGGGCAAGCTCTAGTGCCTGAGATCGTTGGGTTGTGTCTGTTTGTGGGCGGGAGTGGTGTGTGTGTGGTGGTTTGTTTGGGCTTTTTTTTGTGGTTGGATCAGTTGATCTCTAAGGTCCCTTCCAACTCTGCAAACATCGGCCCCCGCCTGTGAACCTCGCTGCTCTCATCCCAAACACACCTGGTGCACCACAGGGTTTAACTTGCATAAACACGAGAAGGGAAAAAAGTTCTCAAAACCCAATATCCCCTTTCCCACTGCAATAAAACCCAAACATGAACATGTTTTGGTTCAAACCAAACATGAGCAGAGAATTCTGTCAAACATGACAGAATCACCTGTGTTGTCATATTCTCCCTTGGTCCTGAGGTGTCAGAGATGTGTTGTAAGTAATATTATAACCCAGGCTGAAAGGAAACAGAATAAAATGGCCAGATAGCGGCAGTCCAAGGTGGTGGAACCCTAAACTTCTCAGACCAGCCGACCTGTCCATCCCCACAGTCGCTCTGTGAGCTTTCCACAGTTGTTCCGATTGAAGATTGTTTTTTAAATAGTTTCCTGAAAGTGATGGGCCAATTTTTACAGCTTCACAGGTCACTGGCACTCCCTGAACCCAGGCTAACTCTAAGCACCATACGACGTCGTGTGTTGTGTTTCTAAACAAGCCGTCCAGCCCGTGAGGACAGTGCACGTGGGAGAAGCTCAATAACCGGGGAAGCATCTCACTGGTTTCAAGCAGCAGAGCCTGTGCAGAGACTTGTGCACGGTGTGGGCACCACCTGCAAGTGCTGGAGCACAAGGGACAGTCCTTGCTGAAAGGCAGCCACGGCTATAAATGGCTCCTACAATGCAGAACATGTGTCTGATCGCAATGGCTTCTTCTTCATGGACAAGGCTGTAAAATGTCCACGTGGCCCATGAAAACAATCATTCCCCCCTCAGCCCGTCTGCAGAGAGACCTTCCCCTCCTCAGAACAAAGACATCATGGATGGAGGGACACCCTGGCTCTGTCTGTGCAGCCTACTGTGACAAAAGCCACCCCTCAGGAATACACAAATCCCATCAGAATACACCCGTGGTAAAAGCCTACAGGACCTTCACACTGACTTTTTGGGAATGGGGAAAGCTGGGCTATGTCAGGTGAAGAAATTATGTATGCATGAAGGTTGCTCTGGATAAATCAGGGGGCAAACACAAAGCAAAGTAACCGCTGCTGTAGAGCTGCATGATCCAGGAGATGTGAGCTCCACCAGACTGTTAGGAAAGATGGGAACTTAAGAACAACACTTTAAAACAAGGCACACATTTTTGAAATTTTAGGTTAAATATAAATATACCCCTGTAATGAGAAGTAACGTTGCAGAAGACAAAAAAGAACACTTAAAGCTCAAAGACACTTTATGGCCTAGAGCATCAAAGTGGTTACCTAAATAAGACATATGCACGAGCCCAAGCCATGGACCTTTAAATGCTGAAAACCAGATGCAATAAGAAGGATCCAGCTTGAGCAGAAAATACTGGCAAAGATCTTGCAGTCACATTGTGTACTCCCAAATGTCTAGACAACGCACGGAGGCTTTAAAATGAAATAAATGCTAACAGACAAACCACGTGGACTGTGTAGGGCTCCGCAGTTCTGCCAACTGTCACAGAGGAGAGAGACTCTTAGAGGAAAACTGTAACCTCCCACTCCCTCCATTCCCTTGGGATGAGGACTGATCTCATACACGGAACTGACTGGTTTAAAAGTCTTGCAAACAAAAGTATACAATAGGAAGTAGGAGAGAATCAAAGCAAGTTAAATCCCTTGCTGATTCTCAGAAGTGCCCCTAGGTGAAAAGAAAATTTCTTCCATATTGCAATCATCGTCATGAAAGCACTCCCTTCACCAGTTTGGCTCTGCTGCAAAAAAACACCACAGGCAGCTCCTCCAAAAAGATCCATATGTGGAGACACTATTACATGGGGTACAACTCCTCTGCTTGAAAAAAAAAATAAATAAAGTACAAAGAATGTACCACCAGTAACTCTTAAGAACTGGTCAGATGGCGAGCAACTGGAGCCAGACCCTTAGCTGGTGGAAACCAATAATAGTCTTTTTGTGTTGAGTGCAGCTGACATCAACTCACACGGTTTCTCTGACCAGGTTTTCAGAGAACTCCACACCTGACCTCAATATATGTCACCTCCGTACATAACCCTGCCCAAACTTCCATCTATAAACTCACAGAGCTCCAAGGACAGGCAGGTACCTGGGGGTTACTTCCAGTGCCCATCTAAATGCCAGCTTCCCCAGCCATGCCCGGAGCTGCCACACGTGCGCTGAGTTTGGCAAGCAGACCAGCCTCAGCCTCTAAGCGCCCAGGTGGCATGGGTACCTCAAAAAGCTTCTCCAAGGGCTAGTCTACACGACAGGAACCCTCTCCCCACGGGATGAGCCTGCAGGGAGGATATCGTGCCAGGCAAAGGATGCGATGGGATCCATAGATCCACACGGCAAATCCTCTCCCTCCGCCTCCACAGCGGGTGCCTCCGGCTGGGGAGAGCTGTGGCAGCCAACTAAGGCAGTGACTCACAGGACTGACTCTGGGAGACATCCCCAGCTCAAATCACTGCTGCTGGCAGAGGTGGTAACAAACATGCCAGCACTCAAAGCCGGGGGGAAATTAAAAAAAGAAGCGTAAAAAGCCCGAGGAGAGTTATAGCTGCGGTTTTCTAAAGGTGACTTTTACATAAGAATTTAAATGCATGTGGATATAACTGCACGCTGAAGTCATACTTAAAAACACATTAAAAAAAAAAAAAAAAAAGAGCTTTTAAAATCTTTTAAAAATACTTTACTTTTAATTTAGTCTGTTTCTCAGCTCCAAAGTCAGGACCAAGTACGTTCACGCTGTTCATGATTTACACAGTGTAAATTCCCTGCCATTACCACTGAGAAGGGAATTCAAGCCTAGGAGATACATAACCAAAAGTTATGTGAAGGGTTCCTGAAAAACTAAGAGCAGGAAATGCCTGGCAGTTCGTGTAAGCAGCGGCAGGAATGCGTGGAGAGTACCTAAAGGTAATCAGATCTTCAATCATCATTACGCACTCAGAGCATCCTTTGGAAATGGGGGGGGGTTACTTCAAAATCAGACAGCTGTGCACCAGATGAAAACCACCCGACACCCAGAAGGCACTTCTACAATTCTGGAGAAAAGGAGGGTGTGTGGGAGGAGGATACATGTCATTTACACCAACAGAAGCTAATGCCAACATATTTAAGCTTAGGTGGCAGACTTCGGGATGTCCAAGTCCCTGTTCCAGCTCCCACGTTCACTCTCCCAGTTTTCTGGGGCAGGAAACTCCCAATGAAGCCATGGATTTCTACATCTGGCACCTCTAAAAATACCAGATCACTTACTGCTGTGCCAAGGTGCACACACAGCTCAGGCAAGTAATCCAGTGCCCCAGTTTGAATGATGAAGTGGGCTCCCTTAGGAATTCATTTAAACAATTAGCTCACACTGACAGCTGGGTTGCCACAGTACATTTCCTAACACAGGATAAAGCTGACATTGCAGATACCAATATTTGGCAACTTTGTCAAATGCTGGCTTTTTAACAGTGAGTAATGTAAAAAATGGAGACTTGACTGAGTAACCGTAATGGCTTAGATCATTCCAAGGATTAAAGCTCCACAATATAATCCTTTCAGTTCCTAAACTCCCCGTTACCTCGGCAGGTTCTTCCATTTGCTGCCATGGTGTATCCCTGCTCAGGACAAGCACACTGATAACTACCAGGAACGTTCACGCAGCGGAAAGTACAAAGGATGCCTGCACTTTGTGTGCACTCATCGATATCTGGGGGAAAAAAAGCACAATTAAAAACATATGAAAAAAAAAAAAGAAATCTGAAAGGGGAGGCTGCAAAACACAAGGAAATTCTTATCTGGCACATTTATAAAATATTCTTAAACAAGAATGCAACCATGAAGGTCTACCATTACTCTAGGACAGTTGATGGTGCTTTCTGAACTGAAGGTCTACCTAGGTCTACTCTAGGACAGTTGATGGTGCTTTCTGAAATGCTGAACACAAGATCGCTCTCAAAAAGCCTGGCTGCAAGTAGTATGGACTTAGGGAAAAGAACAATAAGCCTAGGGCACACCTGAGTCTGGAACACTCTCTCTGGTACCTCTGTAATTCTTCTAGGATTGCTTTGGGGGCTTTCTTGTGCTGGGAAGAACATGAGTTTCTTCACCATTTGTTAAATAGAGACTCTCCAAAGTACATGTCAGCATTGGTAACTTCAAGAAAGCAGGTAAAATCGTCCCTTTCTCCATTCTGATCGCTCTACCCCTCATTCACCCACCGCAGCAGAAGTTAGAGCCAAATTTCATTCAATCATGGCTTTAATTGATGCAATATAACATATTGCATATGCAATATAACATATCTTCCTTTCTAATTTTCTCAGTCATAAGCTCTAGCTCCATAAAACAACAACCTCACCAGTTCAATGGTCAGATGAGCGTATTCCAGCCCCAATCATGAAAATAAACTGATTTTTCCAATAGCTGGAGTAACCTTTTGCAGCTTCTGCAGCAGGTTGTAACTCAGAATCATCCTTAGGCATCACCTGCAGCATTAGGTGCTGCCAAGGGTTCAACACCACTTACTGTTAACAAGCTAGCACTGATTGTTTAAGAGGATACACAATTTAACTTGACCTGACAAAGCAGCAGCCTTACCTTTACAAGAATGCCCATCTTCTGCCAGCTGGAAGCCTTGCCTGCAGTAGCACTGATAGGAACCATAAACGTTGGCACACTCCTGGCTGCAGGGACTAGTGTCGCATTCGTTCACGTCTGTATCCAAAGACAAACCCACAGACATTGCCACGATGGTTCAGAACAGTGTCTGCCACCTTTTCTTGCCCCTGAGAACAGCTACCAGCCCCTTCTGGTCAGAGTGAATAAGGACGGACTAATTTGTCCCAAGAAGATGTTTCTGCTCCATGGGGAAAATGCCAGGATGCATGAGGATGTCTGCAGCACCTGAATTTCACGTCTCTATGCGTCAATGAAAACACATACCCATGCAAACACGTGTTTCAGACCTTATATCTTACAGTTGGTTAAAAATACGTAATCATGTAGAACGTTAAGAATATCCCCCCAATTCAAAATCAATTTTTTCAAGTTTTGTCACTACCAAGTTTCATCTTTATTAAAATTCGAATGAAAAGGCTTCTATTCTTTGTTAGGTTCTCCTTTTCTCTCATCTGGAAGGGAAGGAAAAAGTACGTGAGGGAAAGGAAGAAAAAGGAGAAACCTGTCAGCTCTCATCTGACAGTTCAATTGAGCATCTGCAAACCTGAGCACACATTTATCATGGGTTTACTGTATTTATATTTCACCTCAACTCCTTCTCTATAAAGTCCCTTAACTCACACTGCAATTTCTTTTTCATGGAAAAAAAACCACATTTGGTACCTTCACAATGCTTCCCATCGTAAGACAAGCGGAAACCAGAGGAACAAGTGCAATGGTAGGACCCAGGGGTGTTCTCACACGTGTGCTGACACAGGCGTCCCGGGTAATTCCAGCACTCATTTATATCTGCCAGCATAAAAAGCAAATACACAATCAGCTCGGAAAGAAAAGCATCAAACAAGATGCAGGAGGACATTTTTTTTAAAGTGTCAGAGATCGATCTGCAGAGCGTGGAATGCTGCAGCCTCAGGTTTTCTGCTGACTTTGGGCTCTAACAGTGGTGATAAAATACAAAACGCTGTATCATAGCCTCTTAGGAGGAAAGTTGTGAAATCTTCAGAAAGATCAATTTCTACCGCAGCAGCAGCGTAACCCGTGGGGAAGTGCTTTGCAGATGACCTTCACTGATAACCTGGCAGCTAAACCAAACCAAGGGCACCTCAGCAGGGAGCAGCAGAGCTCCCAACGGCCGGTTGTGCTCAACACCAGGTGCCGTGGAGGTGATCCCATCATCTTTGGAGGCACCGCGTTGCAGAACCAATAATGGCACACCACAACGGTGCCAAATTCTGCCCTGAGGCCCAAGGCTCAGTCAATCCATCAGTCATCCCACCTCGTCTGGCGCCGTACGTACCAATGCAGCTCCTGCTGAAGGCATCGTACTGATACCCCATCTTGCAGTCGCAGCGATAAGCCCCAGGAAGGTTGTGACAGATCTGCCCCTCGCCGCAGCGGTGTACGCCAGTCTGACACTCATCCACATCTGCAGAACCACAGGGAGCAATTAGCTCAAACACAGCCTGCTGGAAATCCGCTTTTACGAAGAGAGCAAAATAAATTAATTAAATAACAGGAATAGAAACTCTTGGGGTTGTCCCCTGGACAGAAGAAAGGATATCAGCTTTTCCCATTGTGCTCTTCTCAGAGTCGGCTTTACGTATCTCCAAGTCAAACTTTTCAAAAGCAATACCTTATCTTAAAAGTGAAAATGGTAAGTGTAACCCGAATGGAGCCTTCCCAGCACATTCTGCCTTTCAATGTAAACACATTTTGCTTCTGATCAAACCATGACATTTAAACAACCTATTCTGCTGTTCTGCCATTCCGTGAGTCACGGCAAGCCATTTAAAGCAAAACAAGGACTAGCCAGAAATTCTGCTCATCCCTTCAATTAAAGCAATTGCTATTTTCATCTCGCGTTGCCCTTTCCGTCTCGCTCCTGCTGTCTGCCTTTTGCTCTTTCCTAATGTTGATCTTCTTTCTTTTCTCAATCAACTCGCATTTTGATATTCCTCACGGCCTCTCATCCAAAATCCAATACCAACAAATCAGTTGCTTCTCCACTCACACGCATCAGTTCCAATCTCATTAAAAAATCCTCAGATGAAGATGAGAGTTTTCAATACACGCTGATTTCCAGGACTTGCAACATGACTAAATAGCTCATCAGTATCTAACAAATCCCTGCTACCATCTGTGACAAGAAGCAGCAAAAAGTCTGATTAACCCTCAGAAGCTTGTATTTCTTCAAGTATTCTGAGTTCTGCCATTTCCTAAGCCATCGGAGCCTGCTTCCTTCCTACTATTCACATCTTCAACAACTTTTACAACCCAAATCCCTGTTCATGTAATATTAATTAGGATGGCAGCCTAAGGCTGGGAGTTCTCCATATTGCCCTATTTGAAGTCATAAATTTGAGCCCTACTTCATTTCAAAGGGTTCCTGAGCAGATCTTCATCAAACAAGAGCCTTGGAGAGAGCTCTGGAAAGCGGGCCCTTGCTGAGAAAATGACGGGGAAGTGAGAGCAAGTTACTTATCAAAGAAACTTGGATTTGGAGAAGTGGAGATTATACCAACCCTGGTGAGAGGCACAAGCAAACCCTTTGTTCAATATTTCAGCACACATTCCCACCAACACGGTCCCTGCTGGCATCAGGAAACGCCGCTCGCCAAGCAAGGGATCCCTGACAGGCTCACAGATTGCTGCTCAAACACCGGCTCCTCCTGCTCTTTTAAGGCCAGAGGTAGCATCAAACCAGGAAATTTTCTAACGCAGAGACAATTTTGTAAAGCAGTGGTTTTATCTGCAGTGGATTCACGTGTGCAACCTTTTCATTAGTTTGTCCAAACTTATGTATTCCATTGTGTTCAGACTTTAATTAGTTCTAGGACATTACACTGTCAGAAGTGTGCTATATTTCACCACAGTTACAGGAGTTTTCAGTTAAATGTAAGAGGTAGGTTTTAATAACTCATTGACTAAATCAGAAAATGTGAACATTTTAAAGAGAGATGAAGGCCCTAAAGAGAGAAGATGACCCTACAAGTGTAGTTCTGCTGGAGGAACACGTGCAGATGATGCATTTACTACTGTGAATAAATCTGAATCAGGAATCTAATTAGCTATTGTAATGCCTTAAAGAAACTAGTCTTTATCATAGAGAGGGGAAATTAGGACCATGTGCTTTTCTTCTTTCTTCTCCATGCTTTCTGCCCACTTAAAGAAAGTCAGACCCAAAAAAAACCCCAAAAGATACAGACTGCAAACAGAGTGCACCAGCAAATACAGAGAAATCACCCATTAACATTAAACATTTGTTTTCCCAAAATCAAACTAGAGAAGCTTCCTTATACCTGCTCCTTAGAAGCATTGTCAATCACGTGAAGCAGAGACAAAGTACCATCAGTAATTAGGGTACATTGTGTTATCTCATCAGGCTTTAAAGATATAAATGCTGTATGAATAATGGCAATTTCCTCCTCTGCCACATATTTACACACAATCTGGATGGTTTGGGGAGTAAAATCATGAAGGGAGATACAGAGAGCACAAAGGAGAATGAGGAAATTTATGCAGAAATGGGCTATTTTTCGCTACACATTGCTAGTCGTGACCGACACCGTGTCCACCCACCCGTAACATCACAACAGCATCTTTTGTTTATTTTTTCATCCTTCCCTTTATTCAAAGGGAACTCAAGGAGGAATTATTAGGATATCATCACTAACCAAAATACTGATTTAACATTTTGTTATTTTTTTTTCCCTGCCATTGTTTTATAATTTCCTACTTCGTGTAACACAGAACATAGGGAACTCAAAAATACACAGCCAGCCCTGCCTTGGGCACCAAGGACCAAGCTTGCAATTCCTTTTGTGCCGAGTCTGCTCATTTACAGCACAAATGCTAATAAGAGATGAAATCTGCTATTCTGAGTCAGTAACTCCATAAACACCCTGGAACAAATACAAATCAGTATCAAGCTGCGTGCCAGCCATATGAATATTTCACCATTCTTTTCACAAAGAAAGCAAGAATTTATCCTGAACGTGCGCACAACTGGATGTAGATGGGGAACACCATTCCTAGGGCTACATCTGCTTAGTGCTGGTCTCCTGAGCCCACACATGCCGTGTTTTGCTGCTTCAGAACCTATCGCTTACAGCGAGACACGGTAAGAAATAGCAAGGGATCATGGTTCTGACTGACAGCATGAGTTTAAGAAGTAACTAAGTCCCAGTCACTCCAGAAGGAAGTCAGTAAATCCCGTATCGAGTCAAAACCAACAGTCACCTGGAGTTCCAAGCAGCCCCCAGACATCGGTGCAGCATCCTGCAGTGCCAACAAATCCCTGAGCCGCTGGGATACAGCCAATTCCCATTCCTCAAATAAACTTAGGAATCTGGAGGTAACTCAAACCCTCTTTTTAGAGCTGAAAGGTACTTTGTCCTGTGAGAGGGCTCGTGAACAGGCACTGGAGCCCGACCTTACCGACGCATCGGGTTCCCTCCTCGTTGGAGTGGTAGCCTCTGCTGCACGTCAGCGTGTTCCTCTGGCAGGTGTAAGACCCAACGGTATTGATGCAGTTGAATCCCGGTTTACACGGCTCGGGGAGAGATGTGCATTCATTGATATCTGGTGAAGACAAGGAATTAGAATGGTGAGAGAAGCTATTTAACCTTTCTGGTCTGTTTTCTTCCAGCTGTCACTTCTTTTCCTTCATTTCAATTTATTGTGCTACAAAGAGAAGGCTGATGAATCACAGAATGACATGGGGTTGGAAGGGACCACTGGAGATCATCTAGTGCAATCCCCCAGCCAGAGCAGGTCCACTCAGAGCAGGTCCCACAGGAACGTGTCCAGGTGGGGTTCGAATGTCTCCAGAGAAGGAGACTCCACCACCTCCCTGGGCAGCCTCTTCCAGGGCTCTGCCACCCTCACAGGAAAGAAGTTCCTCCTCATGTTTAGGTGGAACTTCTTACATTCAAGTTTGTGCCCATTTCCTCTTGTCCTGTCACTGGGCACCGCCAAAAAAAGACCGGCCCCATCCTCCTGACACCCACCCTTGAAGTATTTATAGGTGTTGATCAGATCCCCCTCAGCCTTCTCTTCTCCAGACTAACACCACCCAAGTCCCTCAGCCTCTCCTCATAAGGGAGATGCTCCAGGCCCCTCATCATCTTTGTAGCCCTTTGCTGTACCCTCTCCAGCAGTTCCCTGTCCTTCTGGAACTGGGGAGCCCAGAACTGGACCCAGTGCTCCAGATGGGGCCTCCCCAGGGCAGAGCAGAGGGGCAGGATGACCTCTCTCAACCTGCTGGCCACACTCTTCTCGACACACCCCAGGATGCCATTGGCCATCTTGGCTACAAGGGCACATTGCTTGCTCATGGTCATCCTATTATCCACCAGGACTCCTAGGTCTTTCTCCTCATGGGCCTGCTGTTCTTCAAATTTGATATGCAACTATGCATATCTTTAAAAGGACAGCAATTTTTAAATTTAATTCACAGCAGGATCTGAGCAAAATTCCATGTGGTCAATATGCACCCCTTGGACAGGCTAAAAGGAAGAGGAGTTGGCCAGTGCTGCTGGACATCCTACGTCGCTGGGCACACTCACCAACACAGTTTCCCTCGGGGTCTTGCAAAAATCCATCCATGCAGCGCTGCTTTGACTCACAGTAGAACGATCCTTCCGTGTTCTGACAAACGAAGTTTACTTTACAACTATGAGTTCCTCTCTTGCATTCATCAATATCTGTCAATCAGATCAAAACACCAGAGGGTGACTAGTTAAGCTGTAATTTTCTATAGTCTTCACGACTAGTTTATAACTTTATTTCTCAGAAAGGAAGTTAGGAAGCAGCATCTAAACCAGACACACAACATCGCTGCTGGGAAATCTGAGGTTTAGGTGTGTTTCTACAGAACATCCACTTCTGCACAGGCTTCAGAGCTTGTCAGCTCCTGCAGCAGATGTGATTCAGGTCCCTACTGCCTTGTTCACAGCTTCTCTTGTCGAGCACAAGTACTGAAACATCTGCAGCTTTAAAATCCTGAAGACCCAAATTAAAACGAGGGATAAGGATGCATAAAATGAGTAACACTATTTCAAAAGCAAAACGGTCTCATTCCTTCTATACCTCAGGAATTCTAAGTAGAAACCCACCTCCACTGAATTTAATACTAAAAGAGGACCTCACTTGGACAGGGCTGGGATTTCCCTTTGTACACAGGCACACGTGCATACATGTATGTACTTAAGCACACAGGCTCAGTTCAGGAATTCTAGTCTCTCTTAGAAATCATTACTTTAAAGGCCACTTTGAAATTATTTGTAAATTTTATAATCTGTTAGAATCTAACTTTAAGACCAGAAATCAATTTAGCCCAGTGATAAATGTTAGAAATGCTACAGATCAGACAACAGAACAAGACATTCACAAACAGCCTCCTCAAGTAAACCAGGGCTTGCTTATGACAGCTGTGCATAAAGCAAGATTTCTGATCATTTCTATTTTATAACCTTATGTTGTATGTCAAGAGCTAAGCTCTTTCTTTAGGCATCTCTTACTCCAGCTGTCATCAAACCCTTTGTGTAAAAAATTTAAGAGTAAATAAGACTGACTTTTGCCCTGAGAGGCAGGATGCATGTGTCTCTTGCATATTCCTGTGCTGCAGAGCAACTTCTGCTGTGCTAGGACTACCCAGGTTACCTTCTCCATTACAGACCAGGGGGAGGGAGATGAAGAATAACTTCTTAACCCCATGACCATTCAAAATGTAAATAAATGCAGACAGACCTCCTAAACACAGGAAGGACGGGACTGAGTCAGCCCCATGAGCCATTCAGGCTGTGATTCAGTGTTCAACAGCAAACAGTGTTCGCCCCATCAGAGAAAAGCAGAGCTATCCCGAGGAACCTAACAGGAATTCCTCCATCAGCAAGATCTCTCTCTAGCCCTTTAAAATCAGGGGAAACCCTAATTCATAAGGTTTCATGCGTTTTCCAAATTATTTATAGTTATCACTAGAACCTATTTCAAATAAATGAATGTACAGAAGGAGCTTATGAAGCCAAATATTTCTATGATGATCAGGTCTTTTTAGTTACTATCTTGATAGCACAGACCAGCAACAATAAAATGCTTTGCAACCCCTTTCCTTCACGTTTTGGTCACAGCAATTGCATCAGCTGAAAAGCACTTGTCTTACCAACACATTCTCCATCCTTAAGTTCATAACCCGGCTGACAGCTCAGTTCCTGGAGACATTTGAACGATCCCACGGTGTTGACACAGTGCTCTCTCCGCTGGCAGGTGTGTGTATCTGTCACACATTCATTAATGTCTGCAACAAAGAGTTAAACAATTCAGTGCTGCATATTTATCAGGAGATCCTCCTCTTCCTGCTCTTTTGGAAGGAGTCAAAAGCTCAAGTGAAACCATTTCTTCCAAAAGATAGTCAATGTACACTTTGCCACAGTGTTCTGATGAAAGAGGTTTTATTCCAGGATCTTTTGTTAACACAAATCACAGGGGTGTTTCCTTCTCCCCTCTTCCCAAAGGAGCAGTGGATGTCCATTTCCAAGGGATGGAGAGAACTGATTAAATGCATATTGGGCAGAGGATTGATAATCAGCTTCTGCTTTACCAGATAGAAACCTCCTGGACAACTGAATGAGAAAGTGATTAATGCTTATTCCTCATTACTAGGTTTCCTAGCTCAGGCTGTGTATCAGTCCTGCTTATTCACACCAGATAGAGAGGACCTGCTAGTGAGGACCTGCTGCAGGAGGTACACACTGAAACTGCTCCCTCGCTGCACGTGGAGTCATGGCACACACTTACTTCCCAAGGAATGCATCATTAGAACAGGAAACACAAGAAAATACGGAGAGAGGAGTCCCAAAGGCTCAATCAAGTTTGTAAAAGAGATCTGATTTCAGCACATGGAGTAGTAGAAAAGTTCCCTTAAAAAAAAAAAAAAAAAAATCACTTAAATTCCAGATAGCTGAATGTGGGAGACAATTTGGAAAGAAATATGCCACACCTTTAAAATGATATGTTTGAATAGGCCTAGATGAAGTAATCTCTTGCTTATTTTAATAATGAAAGCTAGGAATGCTACGATGAGCAAATACTTAAAAGCAATAAAAAGGGGTAGAGATGGGAAGAGAAACTTTCTTGCCATTCTCCACAAAATCTTACACGTTCACAGCTCTATATAAAGCTATGAAGTATTTCTAGAGCTAACAAAAGCCAAATGTGACCATAAATCTTACCAATCATCCAGCCTCTCTCCACATGAAGCTGTTTTCATACTACACAATAAAGCAAGTATTGTTTAAATCAGATTTTCATTTTGGCTGTAGAACCTCATTCCCAGATAAGTCCAACATCAGATATATTACTTCCCCTTGTGGAGCATGAAAACAGGAAAAGCCATTTTAGAAGCCTTTTGTTTTAGAAAACGTGTCAGTTTGTTTTCTGCCAAACGGATGGAGATGAGCACCAAGAAATTTCAGCTCCCGCAGAAGTCAGCCAAGTGGTGATGTGCACCGAGTTTTGTGAGACCAGTGTGATAGCTTGGTGCCATTTCACTTTTCATTTACTTCTGTTTTCTTTTAGTTTGCCATTGCTACTCTTCACATGCTGTGCCCTTGCTTCCCAAATCCAGCCAATTAATCCACAGCAAGGTCACGAGCCTCAGCTGGATCCTTCTGCCTGTCCCACTTCCTCTGACTGGCAGGGACTCACCTGCCCCAAAGCTTTTACAGAGTTGTATCCTCCTAATTCTTGTACACTTTCCCAGTTTCCACACAGAAGTAAGCAGCAACAGTCTCGTAAGTGTGTCTCTTCTCCCAAGGAACAGGTGATGGGACAAGAGGAAATGGCCTCAACTCGCACCAGTGGAGGTTCAGATTGGATAGCAGGAACAATTTTGACATGGAAAGGGTTATTAAGCCTTGGAATGGGCTGCCCAGGGAAGGGGTTGAGGCCCCATCCCTGGAGGGATTTAGAAGACGGGTTGACATAGTACTTAGAGACATGGGTTAGTGATTTCTTTATCAGCGTTAGGTTGATGGTTGGACTAGATGATCTTAGAAGTCCTTTCCAACCTGGACAATTCTATGATTCATCTCTAAATTTCTGCCTTGAGGGAAAAAAATCCCCAAAACTACACATCCAGAATTGAAAAAAACACACCCTCCATGCTGGGAGAAGAATATGAGCTGCTGTGGTAGACCCCTCCCACCTAACCAGACTTAGTTCTTAAATAAATCTGAGGTTTGGTTTGGTTTAATTTTATAGAGAAATGACTAAGAACAGCCACTTAACAGCACCCAAACCGGTGCGAGACTTTCTCCTGGCCACCCAACAGAACTGAGATTATCTTTTCTTGCAAACCTTCTCGTATCAGCAAATTGTCAACACTACACTGGAACACGTGAACTTAAGTCAGCTCCACACAATGTCAAAGGAGCCACTGGGAGGAAAGCATGTTGGTCCGAAATACCACCCAGATAACACAGGAACTATTCCACCTGGTTAACAGGTAAAAAGAAGGTTAAGATTTCACAGAGGAAAAAAAAAATATATTATAATTTCATGTTTTGTCTATAATTTTTGATTCATTTTTCAAATTTCTGAGTACTTCAGAAAATAAGGAGAACGGGCCAGAACACAATTGGGGAAATGAAAATTATGGAAACAGGAAGATTACTGAATACACACTGAATATATTTTATATATGCGGACTGAACACATTGTTATAAAACAGGATAATCTCTCTCTCCCTTTTTCCTCACTGTTGATTATCCATAAAATCAAGAGGGCCCATAAACCGCCTCTTTTCAGCACTGGAAACCAACTGAACAAGTCAGTAGGATGCTTGACAGAGCACTAGGAAAAAGATGAGTCAGGTTTCCAGTTTGAAACAAAGTTAATTCCCAATGTGGGACCAGCTGCAGTCTTCATCCAACACAATTAAGACTGTGAGGTAGGGCAAGATTATATTTATTAAAAAAAAAAAAAAATAACCACAGAAATAAGAGGAAAATAATTCAGTAACATTAAAAACAAGTCACAGTTAATTTTTGTGAAACCTACTAGGTCCATGTGTGTGGCAACAACATTCCTTGCTTTATGTCAGTAAAAACCACAATGAAATGTAACCACGTAATTTCTCATTTTTTCCCTGGAATTGTTGTTGAAAATAGCAATATATACATAATCCCTGAGTGTATCTATTGCATCTAAGAAGCTGTCATTTTTATGAAGGAGTATCAACATTTACCTACTGCTATTTTTCTCAATACATACTTTGACATTAAAAATCTTTTTTTTTTTTGCACATTTTATAAAAATGTGAAATGCAGGCGTTTTTTTTTTTTTTTTTCTCCTACATCTGTAGTTTCTCATGATTTATTTTTCCACTTCAAATTACTTCAGCTCAATTCCTTTTACGGAATACATCTGTTTTATTTAGACCCGTTGTTATTTTGCAACCACCCGTCCTGTGCTCAGGCGCAGTCCCTGTGGCTCAGCAATAAAATAACCACTCTGGAGGGAGGGAAAATTGGGATGGGGGTTGCAAAAAGAGTAGCAAAGTAGTCTCCCAGCATCCTGTGTGTGTGGGTGGTGGTAACGACTTTGCCTGAAAGTCACCAGGAAAAGCAATCCACATTTAAAAAGATCCAACCTGGCTCTTATCTCTGGGGAACATGGAGCTTTCAAGCCTAAAGACATTTTAATACCCATTCACAAAGTCAGACAAAGCTGGTGTGTGCAAGGTGTTTAAACAGCTGGTGACTCCTCATTGTGCACGGGTGGCTTTCAGGAATTCTGGATATCTGCTCCTGAATGCGCCTGGAATTAAAATCTTCCAGTTCGACTAAAGGAAATTCAACAGATAAAAGGCTTATCAGCTGTTTTGTGGCTGTGCAAAGCCTGTTCCTCCCATTCCGCCCCTAAAAGACGCAAAGAGAAACATCATTAAGACAACAATAACGTGCAAACCAATTGGCAAAGCTCTCCTGGTGGTGCCCGAGACAGCTGGGGATGGAGCAGAGAAGCGGTTGAGCTGGAAGAGGAGACCTCAGGTGAGTGTGGTGGCAACGAGGAGTTCAACAAAAACAGAAACCACAGTATGCTTGTGGCTTTCCCCTTCGACTAGAAAAGTAGGAAAAATGTTAAATACAGCAAATGTTCTCCTGGCACCGCACACAGAGCAGAGCTGCAGGCGAGCAGGGAGAACTCAAGGTTTATCTACCCAAAAAGAAAGAAACTTCCAAGTTTTCTGGATTATTTACAAGGATACCTGTAAAAACCTGACTTGCATTAGAGAAATACAGAGGTCTGTTATTTAGTGAGGGAGAAGAGGATCTTTTCGCTTTACAAATGAGAGTTTCATTTTACCAGTGATGCCTGGGGTTTATCTTCTATCTGTCACAATAAAACTCTGTTATAATGTCACGGGGTAGAGGACAGGAGAGGAAGAAGGTGAATAAAAGGAAGCATTTGGCACCTTCTATAGCACCTTCTGCCAAAGCTGCTGACAAACTTGCATTAATTCAGTTTGAAAATGCTCCTGGGAGACATAGAAAAGGACAGATACATCTCTACAGCATAGCCCAGGAAAGGCATCGGGGGATTAGAAGGAAAGCTCTTCAGGAGCAGAACACAAGGTGAGGCAGTTCCTTCAGCTGCTGACTCACCAGGCCTCATCTCCAGAAGCGTGGCACGTGCAGCAGGCTCTGTGGGAGCTGTGACACACACCACGCAGGCTGTGGCCAACTACAGATACCATCCTCCATCTCGCAGCCTGACATTTGCTCTGTAAAGGCATCCTCCCTTCCAGCCCTCTTCTCTCAGCCATTTCATTTAAACTTAATAATTTCATTAGTTTTCCATGCTTCCAAGTACCTCTGATTTCAAAATAAATAATATTTTTTAAAAAAAAATCCAATTTTGACAATTTAAGGAAAACCCAGAAGATAATAAATGACATTTCTGCTCTAAGTTATGACACTGTATAAACTTTCCTGCTCATGCCCTTATGCCACATGATGCTCATTAATGAGATGAGATCACAGAGCTTTAAAAGAACAATACCAAAGCCGTGATGGTCAGAAAAACACTGTTATAAATGTAGGGAGGAGGACAGGGGTGGAAGAGGGTGAATGCATTCCCACATGACATTGTAGTCACAGGCACTGCAGCTTTCATTAATCACTAGTGGTCCCCAGAGGGTCCATTTCCCCAGGTGTTACCACACAACACGGCTGCAGCTCAGGTGCCTCCCAGACCAGCCTCCAGAGAAACACCCCAAACAGAAACTATTTCATAAGCTCAGGACTTGGCTTTTTGAAGCAAATTAAATCCTCATAAATACACTTGTAAAAATAGATTGGTTTCTTATACAAACTTAAATAGCAGGGATGATACAGCAGAATTATGATGCATCTTTGACTTTTGTACAAAGAAATCTGTGCCAGAATCAACAGAGGAATAATCTGAATTTTTAAATTCCACCACTTTGGAATGGATCTTTTCCACTGCCTGGACTTCTTCAGATTTCTTGAGCTGTATTGATGAAGTTTTGCTGTTTCATGATGTCTGAGGATTTGGCAGTATTGACACTGTCCAGAGAGAGCAACTGCTGTGTTTTCTTACTCCAGTTTAATAGTCATCAGTACTGCTGTGGTCATCATACCTACAAACTTTTATGACTTTTAGCGAAGTTATATGTATCTTGAGAACTTATTGCTCGGGAAAAAGCCAAATAGCATACAACTCATGATGTTAAGTGGCTGAGCAAATGGCGCACATGTGTTTTTACTAACTCATATTGAAATGTCAGATGCAAAGATGGCCAGAGAGCCTTTTAGCACAAATGGTTTAAATGCATGGCAGAGCATGAAGAATTATGATGCTGTGGTGAACGGCTTACACCTATCATCTTACCAACACATTTCCTATGCCTGTTGAGTATAAAGCCCTCTGCACAGATCACTCTGTGGCTGACACAGTAGAATGATCCCAGTGTGTTCACACATAATTGTCCTCTGGAACAAGCGTGAGCACCTGTGAGGCACTCATCCAAATCTACATCAGCGTGTTGCAACCAAAAGGGAAAAACAGAATTCTATTAGAACAATTTCTGAAACGAAGCAACACTTCTTTCACGCTGGAGATCTCTCAATGAAGTGCGTTGGAGCTACCACATCAGCACCGTGCTATAATATATACAGTGTTACACTGAAAATAGGGCTGGAATAAACCCTCGGAGATCATCTAGTCCTTGCTCACACCCCCTACGCTTTTGTCATTCCAGAAAGAGCCGTTGTTAAAAACCAGCAGTCGCACAGAGTCTTTCCAGGAAACCTCTTCCAGTGCACCCCCACATTCACCATCAAATACTTTCTTTAATAGAAATTATAAACGTCCCTCGTTACGATTTAAACTCATTACTTCTACTGACATATCTGATTTTTTTCACCTTCTGTAGAAAAACGATTGCCTTGAAATGCCCCTTCTTATTCTGACATTAATTAATCAAATTAGCTTCCACCACACTCGAGTAAGCAATGCACAGTGCATATTTTATCTGGTGATATTAAACTCCCATTTTCTTCACAGACTATCTGGAGTTTCATGAAAATGATTTGTTATTCAATAAGAGGGATGTGGATCACCTGTGAGCAATTCTGAGCATCAGAAGCTTCAACTTGCATTTCACCACTGGCTCTTCCTGCTCCCACGCTCACAGATTTATAATTAAAGTATGTCACAGGGCATTGCTTCTGACCCCCAAATCTTTCCTGGGCAAATATATCCTTGGTCACTACCCAAACATGGCCATTTAAAATTGATATAATGTGAAAGACCACGTGCAGTTTGGAATTCACTGGTCATCACTGTGCAGACCTGAGCTTCACTGTCAAGTGAAACCCGTGGAGCTGGACAAGCCATGGCACGTTCTTCATAGCAGTGAAGCCCCAGCTTTTCAAGAAAAGCAGAAATAAAACCAAACAAAACAGGGGACAGGGGAGAGCTGTAGCTCTGAGGGGGTTCCTCAGGACAGTAAATACACCCACGTCCTGGAAGCTGCTCCCATTCTCAGGGAGAGAAGCTGCATGTCCATGGCTGGGTAGACAGATCCTGGGGAGTGATGGGAGTGGGAAGAGAAACAGAGAGGGCTGAAAAAAAAAGCCTGGAATGTGAGAGGAAAAGAGCACAAATCCAGGCTTGCCTTCCCCTGAGGTCCCCTGGAACAGGCACACCAGATAGATGTCCTTCAGGAGGTATCTGGGAAGATCTGGAATTACTTCCAGCCAATGGTCTCTGTACTGCCACTTGCCATTCACAGCACTGAAAATAAGGGACCCTCAGAGAAACACCCAGGGGTATGAGACCTATATAAAAGTGTTTTAACCACATCCCTGTGGTGAACCCGAACTCCTTACCTTCACAAGAAACGCCATCAGCCATGAGAGTATATCCAGCCAAACAAGAGCACACAACACTGCCTTCCACAACATTGCAGATGTGCTTGCAGGGGCCATTATCTGCACAGAGCAAAATTGCAGATTATGTTAGCATTCACCACACGCATCGGCTGAGGTTACAAACCTCCAGGACATCCCAGTATGACCCCACTTTAGGCAATGGGGAATGCAGTTTGTAAACAGTCTGGCCAGAGGGCCCTAATCACTACTTACAACCCTGCTATTAGACAGAAACCCACCTGCCCCGCTCCTGCCTGCACTGTTCCCACTACTCTGCACAGCTGCACTGCTTACCTGAAACTAAATCACAGGTGTGTGACAACCCTGAAATTGGAGTGCAGCCTCAAATTACTTCCTCCAGTTTCCCCTGACAACTCCCCAGCCAGAGGTAACAAATTAAGGATGTGCCCTGCAATCAGATCCGTGAAGGGACCTGTAGAATTTTATTCAGGCTCTCTAAACATTCCTCACACATCTGCAGTTTACACCTCCAACATACCTTTACACTTATCCTGCTCTTCTTGCAAGGACATGATGAGAAGAGGCTGAGAAGGAGAGGATGCTGGAGGGATGGTGGCTTCTGCTTCCAGCCTTGTCACCTGGCCTCTGTCAGGATCTGTAAGGCAAGGGAGGCAGGGATGGATCAGGGATGGCATCATCTCCACCAGGCACCCCACGGCAAGGTCCTGGTCCCATTCATCCTGCTCCATTGTGGTTTGTAGGAGAAAACATTTTGGTGACCTGGACAACTGTCTGAGCACATGCTGCATGCTAATGGAGATGCTCACAAACAGCACGGATACAGATCAGGGCTCGGCTGAAAACAACTTCTGTAGAGTAAGACACTGCAAATCCTACCAAACCCAACAGAAAGTGTTAATTTTCTTTTAAAGAATGCTGCCAGACTGTAAAGAGAGTGGCTGTCTTTCATTTGGTGTATGATGAAAAATAGAGAACCCAAGCCAAGTCTTCAAACTTGTTCTGTACACCCTATTTCAACACAGATGAAAAGCAGAGGCTCACCTTCACAGGCACAGGATACTCTGGAATGGCCACCAAGCCAAGGGGAAAACATGACAGCCACTATCTTTCATTAAGATTTTCAACAAACAGTAATATTATAGTTATCAGAATAGTTAAAAAAAAAAAAAAAGGCTCTGTTACATTCCTAAGAGTAATGCAGTTTATCAGTATCATCAAAACAGAAGCCTAAATCCTTCCTTAAGAGGGATGTGTCCTTTTCCTATTGATTTGGGTTTAAGTGTCACCTGGAGCAAAGTGTGAGCCACCAAACAATGACAACAATAAATGACAAAGTGTGATTGCAAGACAGATTTGGGGAAGAGTGATTTCATTAAAAAGCCAAGAAAATTAAATCACAGACATAGGCTATGACACAGAGGCAAATACAAGACACCAGCTTGTGGCATCTCCCCAGAAAGAGAGCAGAGAAGCGAGAAGCAGCTGTGGAAGTTTCACCAACGTATGCTTTCTCCTTCACAGAGCCACTGCAAGAACATCACTTCTTCCAAGCTTCATGAGAAAGCATTTTAAAAAAAAAAGTTAAATACAAAAAAATTCACAGTCCAGCAAAGAGCAGGAAATGTACTGGGACAGGTACAAAACCAAAAGCATTCTATCTAATGAAAGGAGGTTGTAGAGAAGCGGGGATTGCTCTCTTCTCCCAAGGAACAGGCGATGAGACAAGAGGAAATGGCCTCAAGTTGTGCCAGGGGAGGTTCAGATTGGATATTAGGAAAATTTTTTACACGGAAAGGGTTATGAAGCTTTGGAATGGTCTGCCCAGGGAAGCGGTTGAGGCACCATCCCTGGACGTTTTCAAAAGATGGGTTGACATAGTGCTTCTATAGTGCAACTTCTTTGCTGTGAGGGTGGTGAGACCCTGGCCCAGGTTGCCAAGAGAAGCTGTGGCTGCCCCATCCCTGGAGGGGTTCAAGGCCAGGCTGGATGGGGCTTTGAGCAACCTGGTCTGGTGGGAGGTGTCCCTGCCCAGGGCAGGGGGTTGGAACTGAATGATCTTTAAGGTCCCTTCCAACTCTAACCAATCTATGGTTCTATGAAACCCCCCCCCACATGCTCCAGGTGAGCCATCCAGCCACATTTTGCAGTGCTAAAATAAGAACCATATTCTTTGCCTCTTTTGGATGAGGTTCCTTCCCCAGAATTTTAATATAAACACCAGAGCAGACAGCTGCCACAGAACCACTGTCAAAGGCGTTATTGATGTAAGCGCTGCAACATCATGTTGGGAAGAATGACATAATGAATGCTCATTGTTTGGCTTGGGCAGAAAGGTTTGAAGTCTAAGAAATTCTGTCATTCAATGGCAACACTCATTTTGCTTGTTAAATAACTGAAAGCACTTGTAACTAATATAAAGTTTCAACTTTTCGGGTTATCTGATTTGAAATCTTGCCATTGGAGAACTCCAGACATCAAAACAATTACAACACAATAGACTTTCTTTTCAAGACTTCCACCACACTAGATATATTTAGATTTTGTATGACTGAAAGATGTTAATGATTTTAGATAAAAATCAAAGTTCAGGAAGCAATGCTGTCTGTCTGAACTGAGTAAAGTTTATCTAAAGGGAAGCCAACTGTGAAGTACAAAATTACTAAGAAGAAAAGGTATTTCATTAACCATCTTTACAAATCCTTTTCTGGAAAGTGAAACAGTCTTGATTTGAACACAAAAATAGGGCATAATTAAGTGTTCTAAATTGTTGTTTTTCTTTACATTAGGAACCCGTCCAATTTCTATGGAAAATGTCAAAGCATCAACACCCATTAAAAAACAAGGGTCACAGAAATTATAGAGAAACTAAAGAAAAGCTTGGTAGATCAATGTAGGTGGCAGAAAGACCCCACCATTCATGGTGTTTCCTGCCTGTTTTCTCACCTGGAGAGCAGCTGGTTCCATCCTCTTGCAAAGTGAATTCTGGAAAACACGAACACTTGTAGGACCCAACAGTGTTTATACACAAATGCTGACAGAGTTCCCCACCATAAAGAAGACACTCATCCAGGTCATCTCCAGGCAGGCTGTTTGAGAGTTCAGCTTCGTTGCTGATGGACAAAGCTTCATTGTGATCTTCTGTCTCTGAAACTGCAATAGAACAGTATTTGCTGGTTCTCTAATAGAGTGTTTTAGCATTAGGACTAAATGGAGCATTTGGCCACACAAAGTCCACATACAATCAAATCTACCCAAAACAGTTACTCCCAGGACAAGAGCAAAGGAACCCATCCTGAAGACAAGACCTTTGTACTGAAGGTCCACCACCACCTTCCATAAAGGTGGAGGGACAGACATTTTACAGAAACCACTGAGAAACAGGGTGACCCTGGGAGGTCACAAGCTGACTGTTCACACTGACTGCTGACACCACGGCTATTGTTATTTGAATGAAGGTATCACGTTGAAGATACATCTGAATTTGGCCCCACTGAAGAACCACACTGATTTTCTCATTTCAGGAGAAAAACTTATCCAGCTGGTTTGGTAACTCGTTTCAACACCACTATTGATTTATTGGCTGCATCTGTAGCTGGCATTACAAATGTTCTGGGACCCACTGAACAGTGACACAGCTATCCTACCTACTGCTTTGCAGAACAGGCAATAGCACCATTCTTTCCATTGCCCGACCAAGTTTGACAAGACTTTCTGCAGTACTAAAATGAATTGTTCAGCAAGTTTCTCAGTCAGCTTTTCTTAAACACATTGGTACAAACTTGCTCAGTGAGGTCTCAGCTAGGGCAAAATAAACCCTTAACGTTTGTTGGCGAGAGAGTTCCCAAGAAGAAGATGGACAAAAATTGAACCCCAGCATATGCTGGAGGTTACCACACAACTCATGCATGACATGTGGCTACAGAGCGATGCTGGAAGGAGCATGACCTTGGGCCAAGGGAGGAGCATAGCTGTCCAAGCTCCCGATTTGTCATGCTCTCTTTGTCATGCCTCTGGCTGCGGGGATGTGATCTAGCTCTTTGGTGTCACTGTGTTCGTATGTTGAAAGAGTAAAAACAAACTTTCAGTGCTCTGGGGCTTCTCCAGAGCGTGCCGTGAGAAAGCTGCTGTGATGCTCTGCAGGACAAAAGGAAATCTATTCCCAGGATGTTTCGTTAGTATCATAATCCATGGGACTTCTATGGCTAGAAAATACTTATCATTTGCTTTATTGCAAAATCTTTCAGGTTTGCTTCTGCTAAAATGATCAGCTTCACCTTTGCTTCTTGGTAAGAAGGGCTAATGGCAGGTGGGCTAATGGCAGGTCTCTGTACTCTGTGACTGGGGGGAACGAAACCCCAAACAACTGAAGAAGGTATGTTTTGAGGATCAGAAACATCTACATATTTTCTTTTTTCTCAAAACTGTTTTAAGACCAAGGAAGACTATATTTGATCCGAGAGGGAAGGCAACAGTGCTCCTGCAGCATTACTCCTTCCAGCACCTGCCCTGTATGACTGTGTGAGATGGAGACCTTACCTGCAACGTCTTCAAATCCTAAACGGACACTTACCCTTCTCGGGTGTCACTGTTGGCAAAGGTTCAGGATGTCTCTTTATTTCGGGATGGATAAAGCGATCTCCCCCTTCGCAGCAGGACAGCATGACGTGGCTGCAGGGGTAGCCCAGGTTAATGTTGGACTCGCAGGTTTTGCCCTCGCTCCTTAGTCGCAGGCCCAGGTTACAGCAGTCACAGCATTGCTGCAAGAGGAGGAGACTGTCAGGAACAAGGATTTAATTCAGTCCGCTTCAGGGATGAGCCCACACACACACACCTGGAACTGATCTGCGCTGCCTTTAACAGCGGGGCATCTGGAAAAGCATTTAGGGTTAAGACAGTCACAAACATCAAAGCTTTCCCTGGTTTTGCCATCCTGCAACCAGGCTAAAGACAAAGTCTCGCTGTGACAATCATCTCAGCAGCTTCACGTGCAAAGAAGTAGTGGTGCCACAGTCCACCTGCTTCCAACCCTTGCACACAGCCACTGCTTTGTATATGGTATATTGTAAACAAAATAATACAGATCTATACCTCCTCACATTAGATCTTAAAAAAAACCAGTTGTTTGAAGCAATGGGAAAGAAATTGTAAATATCCTGCATGGACATGAGGATCATCAGCAGCATCCGAGCTCAGTCAGTATGTCCATAACGACTGTTTCCTCTATGCACCACTCCCCTGCAAACCTACCATGACCTTTAATTAATTACCTGACTGTCCTGGACAGCATCCCACTGAGATGGTGGCTAGAGAAAGGCCAGGGTGTATTTTACAAGCTATTTGCTTGCCTTTTCCTCCTCAGTACATCTAAGCAGCAGCTTCACTGACAGGTTGATGCAGTGGGGCACCCCTGGAATGCAGTCTCTCTTGCAGCTACGGGTGGCACACGACAAGTGTCTTGTGCTCTACAGGGTCACATACAAACCTACTGCAGAGTCAGGCCACAGAAATGCGCCAGATAAATCATATCAAATTCAAAAAGTCCATACTGCATGCGCACAGCGGGTACCTAATCGAGCAAGGAAGTGAGGAGCTGTAAGTCTCTGCCACGGAGACACACAGGGGCCACGTGTGAATTGAAGATGCCTGTCTGGATTTAAATGTAAATGTCCTGACATCCCTTAAATATATATATATATTTAGATGCTTTCACTGACAGAATAGCTATAAAATGCAGAGTCTCTTTCCCTCTGCAGCTCCTTTGATAGTCAAGACATCCAGCCCATTTATAGTTTGCAGCCGCAGGGGAACAGCCTCCCTGAACCAAGAGAAGCCATCTCAGTCTGGCCGAACATTCACTCTAGGAGCAGGCGTCAGACACATAAAATTAAGGTCATAATTCAAACTGGCACCAGGCTGGAACAGAAGACAACTGAACTGAGCTCCCGCTTCCCAGCAGAGACATCTCTGACCTGAGGAGAGCAAACCTGGGGAGCATCAGGAAGAATGTGACCAGTAGTTGAGGGAGGTCATCCTGCCCCTCTGCTCTGCCCTGGGGAGGCCTGATCTGGAGCACTGGGTCCAGTTCTGGGCTCACCAGTTCAAGGACAGGGAACTGCTGGAGAGGGGACAGCAGAGGCTACAAAGATGATGAGGGGCCTGGAGCATCTCCCTTATGAGGAGAGGATGAGGGACTTGGGGCTTTCTAGTCTGGAGAAGAGAAGGCTGAGGGGGGATCTGATCAACACCTATAAATACTTCAAGAGAGGGTGTCAAGAGGATGGGGCCAGTCTTTTTTCAGTGGTGCCCAGGGACAGGACAAGAGGGAATGGGCACAAACTTGAATGTAAGTAGTTCCACCTAGACATGAGGAGGAACTTCTTTACTTTGAGGGTGGCAGAGCCCTGGAAGAGGCTGCTCCTTCTCTGGAGACATTCAAACCCCCCTGGACACGTTCCTGTGGGACCTGCTCTGGGTGGACCTGCTCTGGCAGGGGGTTGGACTAGATGATCTCCAGTGGTCCCTTCCAACATCATGTCATTCTGTTATTCTGTGAGAAGCAGCGCTGTCAGGGTTGGACGCTGCATGGAAATGGAAAGGAATGGTGCTTCGTGATTAGCAGTCCTAGACAGGCATTCACAATAACCACAGCTTGTGTCCACTGGGGAGACGGGGAAATTGTCCACCAGCACCTCAACCTGTGGAAACTCTTCTGCTGAGTCACATTTTTCAAGAATCAAACGCTGCACTTCAGGGTTTCTAGAGCTTTTTACACCCAATATGTACCTCTCGCATGTTCAGCCCAGTACCTATGACTACATCTCATGGTTTATGTCCCTGCTTTCTAATCTGAAAAATCCCCAAACATCACAAATGTGAGACTTTATTCACATTTGCAAATATACAGAGCCATAAAAAGTTGCTTTTACGTGCCCAAATACATGCTTGTGAAAAATTTACAGCACAGGTCCTGAAAATGCTGAATTATTTTTGATACTAAATGGGCTAAATATTTTCAAAAGAAGTATTAAAAAAAAAAAAAAAGAAAGATCTAAGTATAATGGATTGTGGTCATGCTCAAAAAGAGAAAAATCCTTCTTTCACCCTCCCCAAATTCAAAATTTTATGAACTGAAAATTCTTTCAGCAAATATTTTTAGTTTTGGTACTGTTTTTTCAGCTTCAATATGCAAATTAAAAGAAGTTAAGGATAATACATGTTTTTAGTGAAGTATTGTAAAATATTGGAATATTTGCTTTGAAGAATATGGCTTTTTTCAGTCATAATTTTGGTTCACAATTTATCCCATGTGCAGGCATCACAGAGAGTATTAAATCCGTCCTACACTTTTGAGTTTAAATATTTTGCAGATGAATACAAATGTCTCATTTTCCAGTGGAAAAAACTTGGTCGTCAAAAAGTTCCTTCTAAAATGCAAAAACTTAAATGTCTTGATCTTCTATTAGCGACCTCTTGAACATCACCAGAATTCCACAACTGATTCAATAACAAATATGACTATTTTTACATTGCAATCGAGAAACTCACCTTGAGAACCGCTGCTCGATTCACAACATTCTGTGCTGCTCTGAAAAATATCTTTGCTGGAATCCAGCATAATTGGATTTACCATGGTGGCACCTCCATCCACTAGGAAAAAGTCCCTGTGCTTTTTGTATTAGAATAAATAACAATTAAACGCAGCCTAAGATTAAGTTGTACCGAACACAAGGTGAATACCTGGATCTAAAAAACGGTGCTGCTGTGTTCACCTTGAAGCAAAAGTAAGGGCCACACACCTAAAATGCCTGAAGAATGCCTACACGTGTCTGGTACCTGGAAGTAAAGCCCCTGGTTTTTCCCAGGACAGCCCAAACATCTTATAATTCTTTAGGGCAACAAATTTATCTTTCCACACTCCAGACAAACTCCTTTGATTTCTAACGCCCAGCCACAGTCAGGAATTATTAATGGAACTGGCGCGAGGGGCTGTTCCAAGAGAGTATTTTGTAGCTCGTTTCAGTTCAGGCAGGTGTGATGAAGTTTTCCCTCTCCACTTCTTTCTGAGGAACGACACGTGTGATAAGACTTTACAGCCTGTGCCCTGCCTGGCGTGCGAAAGACCCACAGTGAAAACCCAAGAATTATAATTCTGTCCCACTTCAGAGATATTAATGTCCTCTCCCAAACGCACAAATTCTCTTTTTACTCTAATAGTCAACCCCAGACCCAAGTAAGTAATACTTCTGAAAATGACAAATTGGCACAGCTAATTAAACCTTAAACTCCGCAGTAGACGCCCATGTATTTTACTTTTCCAGTGAACAATTATCTGGAAGAATCACCGATGTACAAGAACAGACAGAACTAATCAGTTTCCTGCTGAGACAAGGGAAGCTGCACTTAAGCTTACATATAGCTATGTAAATTATTATCAGAGTGAAATGAATTCTGAAATGCACCCTTCTGGTAAAACCAAGACAAGCGAGCAAGCGAGATGCTGAATCTTCAAACTGGTTTAAATTGGTTTGGCTCCACTGATTCTCATAAAGCAAATCTCATTTATATAAGCTGAGGCTGGGGCTCGTGATTTGTCACTTGAACCATCCGTTAATGGTCTGCCTTTATTTATGAAGGAAAGCTTCCATCACCATCTGAAATGCGTGTTCCTCTTGTCCATGGTTTTGTTTAACTGGGAAATGAGGCTGCAATTCCACCCTGTCGCCAAGCACACTCTCCAGTAATGCCTTCCCCATTACACCTTCGATTAAGTTTTGCTCTCTCATTTTCTAAATTCTTCTGCACCGTAGCTATAAAAACTAAAATGGTCTTTTCAGCTACTTGCAAAGCGAGGAAGCAAAAGTAATACAGCAAGTAATATCTCAAAAATGGAGATGGAAATAATTCCAAACAACATTACTGAGAAGTTTTAAAAAGAGCCGCACCGCCAGGCAATTGAGGCCTAAATGCAAACAGCGTAATTTCCCTGCCACATTCCTGCAGCTTTCTCATCTTCTGTGCTCCGTAATAACGTACGAAGAGATCACTGCTAAATGCAGGAAATGAGGACACCTCACAACATTTTGGGGGGGGAAAAACCCTCTAGAAGCGTGAGAGCAACGTACCTTATAGGGTGACCCTCCGCAGGGATCGCTCTCCTCCGGGCCGCAGGCGTCCCCCTCCTTGGCGGCGATCATGCCGGCCAGGCAGCTGTTCTCCTTCACGGTGGAGACGCAGCACTGCTTCTGAGCGATCCTGCAAAGGAGCACGGGGGTCAAGTGCTCGCTGACATTTGAGGAGACAGCAAGATGGGACACGAGAAACCCCAGACCTATTGCACTCGCAACACATTCCACCGATGGGGCCTCTCTTCGACGTGTGGGTCAACGCTAATATAACACAGATGGTACCACTGACCCTTTTGCAGGATACCTTTTTTTTCTCATTTCTAATAAAAAGGCAGACTGATACATGCTCAAGAAGTCTTGTGTTTGGGTCATCATCTCTCCAAGTCTGGTCACCAATATCCCTTACAGCTCACCTAGATGCAACAGTCCCTCGTCCCCACGTTTTGCTTCTCAGAAGCCTTCAGAAGGTTTCAGAAAGAGAAAAAAGACAGAAACCTTCTTCCCTGGAACGCGGGAAAGGGAAATGCACCCGTACACTCCTACTGCTGCACCAATCAGAGGACTGGAGCTCTGGGCAGGACTTAAGGACAGTGTCACATCACAAAACCCCCACAAACTCTTCTGTATAGCCCCACAGATTGTAACCCAGAGTTAAACTTTCCTCTAACTTTGGCTATCAGAGGAGGTTATGGGTGACTTGCTCGCTGCATATGAAGTACTTTGGGAACATACCTTTCCTATAAATGGCTCCTCAAATCAAACATTTTAACAGGATGCCCTGAAGGTTAAAACGAACCATTAAAAATCTAAATGGCAAATTCTTAAATGCAATTTAATAGGTGACTATTGAAACAATAAAACAGTCTCTCCTACTGTTTTGAAGTTCAGAGTGGATTTTTCCTCCCACCCCTTCAGAGAGGTACCCGCTTCTTTCAATCCTACACAAAAGGGCAGACAAAATGCCATAGTCCCTTTGTCTTTACTCCAGGAGCCTGTCTCTCACTCTGGCAGCACGGTGACAAGCAGTACCCCCCCAGAGGGGTGCATTTCTGGTCCTAAGGTAGGGATTGTCCCCTGGAGTGGGGAAGGGTGAGGGATGAGGGGTCACAAGAACCCTCCTGAAGGGGCTACGCTGAGTATGGGACCAGTAAATTGGGCATATGTGACACAGATGAACATGTCAAAACTCAGGTGAAATAATAATTGTGGACAGATTTGGCAGCGTGAAAGAATTAAGCAAAGTTTATCTTTTTCCAAGAATAACCACGACATCTAACTGTCTTTTGCTGATGCATGGCCACAGGACACATCGCCTTACGGGGTACCCAAGCCACCACGGATGGGAGGGTGATGCATTTTAACAGCCAGCACCTCATAGCAAAGCAACTCTCCTCCAACAGAATTATTTGCAAGCAAACCACTTTTGTCAGTCAGATACCATTATTACTGCAAGAAAATACAGTCATCCTAGGAAACAAAACCTCTTCTTTCCAGGGAGGAACGTAGTTCCAGTTCACAGCTTTCACACTAATGCTTGAATAAAAAATAAAAATATTTTTTAAAAATAAAAAAGAAAGGGATGTCTCTTATTCCAGTAAAAACCAGGCAGTGACAGCCACTTGGCTGCGTTCCCAACACCAATGGCTTGTTGTGTCAGCTTCACATTAATATTTTTAAAGTGGGATAGCATCAGAGAGGTGCAACTAGGAAGCAGTGGTTTGAGTTGGATTACAGGAAGGGGATTACCACCTCCACCTGCTTTCCTTTCAAGGAAGTGAGTTTTCTAATCCAGTATTAATTGCCAACTGGAGAAATACAATTTTGTGAGCAATGAATGGTTATTACCCAAGTACGTTCAAGTACCAGTAATTAAACTATTATTGCTGACATAAGACATCCAAAATTTCATTAAAAAAATAAAAAAGCCCTAAGTGAAAGTTATTCTCATTTGTAGAAATGAAAAAATGTTATTAGAAGCCTTTGTATATGTGCAAAGTGTTTATTGTATTAAAAGAGTGAAATCTCTATAGATTTGTGTTCTTCTTAAGTGTGACATTGAGCCATTTTGTATTTTAGTGTTTCTTGAACTATCAGCACAGCTCAGTTTCAGCTCCTCTATTACCAGAAAATGAACTGGGGGCAAACAGTGTTAACCTCATTCTCTTGTTTCTTCTTCCCAAACCTGCTCTTAGCAGACCAGACAAATGAGTTGCCGGTTCAAAGATTTGATTTCTGCTTCAGGCAAAATGTTTACGAGTTAAGATCAGTGATGACGTCAATGTATTAAACCGATGTGTGTCTCTAATTAGTGTCAGCAAAAAGCAGGATTCACAGTGGTAGAGCTGATGTAAATGCCACCCAGATAAACGTTGCTTTATTATGATAAAACACATTTCAGTTATGAGATAAAAACTACTACTCTGGGTCAGATGAGATTTAATCTCGCCCAACATCCTATTTCTGATACAGCCAGCGGTAAAAGCTCTGGGAGTATTTGTACATCTATCAATTCATTTTCTAAAGATTTCCTGTAGCTTGCCCTATTTTAAGTTCATTCATCCAGTTACTACACGTAATGCCTTTTAGGTAGTCCCAACTGCAGCAAACTCCTCTGTTGTAGAAGTCATTTTTAGGTAACTTGCTATTGTTTTTTAATAGTACCACTGTGTCTGTACCATCGAAGGAACCAAACAAATAGTGTTTAAAAGACCTGAGAAAAGCAAGACTTGTTTTACTGTATGGCATTTAAGAGGGCTGGAGAAATGGGAAAGAAGGGAAAATTCATACCGCACCGTGGTGGAGTTTTGCATTGAACCCTTGGGCAGACCCAAAAGCATCATCATGTCCCTGGCTGAGTAAGACATTATGTCTGTTCAAAGTGGGGGACATGGCATTTCCCACATCACTTGCCCCTGTCTGCCTGTATCCAAGCTCTGTGTGAACCCTAACCTGTTCCTTGCCAAAGGCTCCTCCTGACCGCTATCATCTCAATTAATACATTTCCCCTCCTGGAGATAGTGTTGGTCATGACACAGAGGTGCAGCAAGTTGGACATGAATATAAAATGTCCAGAGACATCAAGAGACATCAATGAGTAGCTTCAACATTTAAGTTTTTGCCACTTGTGAACCCCAAAATGGCATTTGGAAACAACAGACACCTCAACCTGCAACCTCTGGACATCTTGGCCAACGTGCAACCTCCCCTTGCAACGTCTTGGCAGAGACAGGGGAGGCTCTGCTCATCCGCCTCAGCTAGAAAAACTCATCCTTCAGTGCACAGAGTGGTCACTGTAAATCCCAAGTATTTATAGACAACTATCCTGGCAGAACAGGAGCTGATTTTTACAACTAGTACCTATCTCACACTTTTTAAAATCTCTAGATAACGGATATGTGCACGGTGACCAGCCTGGCACAGCGGCACATCGCCCAGGGGCAGCAGTAAGTGTTTGCCTATGCTTTCAAGGTTCTGAGGCCACAGATTTGAATCCTTTTTTACACTACTGTGTTTTCTTTACACAGAATATTTACGGGTGATTTTAAATCTTTAAAACACAACTGAAATTTTGAAAGTAAACCAACTGAACTCCTGATCTCTTATTCTTTGAAATCCCAATAGATTCACAGGGACTGAAACATTTAGGACCTGGCTTTTTCATCTAAACCCAGCCTCAGATGTGCAGGTGCAACTCATTAATGTATTGGATTTGCACCTACTTAGGCCAAGGCTGGAATTTTTTAATCTGTCTTTACTTCACAGACAGTCGGTATGTGTCAGTTATGTCATGCCAGACCCCAGTGGGGGGGATTTTAATCTCTGGGTAACTTCAGAAAGGTGCAATGATACTAACTTTGATAAAAACGATTACGCCAAACTTTTTTAATGCTGAAAATGCTGGGACCGCTCTCAGAGAAATCCATCTGGCTTATTATGCACTGTGTGAGTCTCGGATATAGCTTTGCCTTCATCCCTCCCTGCGGCCTGTTCCAGACTCGGGGGAGGGAGGCAAGAGTGACGGGATGAATTGCAGCGAGCGTAATGTGCTGTCCTTGTTACTCTGCACCCATTCTTCTTGCCTTGCCGTGCAGTTGGAATCTGGCACCCTCACTCAGAGCAGATGCTACTGACACCGGCAGCATCATCAAGGCGTATGGTCCCCCCTCCAGCTGAACACAGCCAGCTGAACCAGCAGCCATTCACACCGGACAATAAACACATCATTTAATGATACAGACAATCATCGCGTTTAGCACTTGCCAAATGGAGGACCAACTCTGCCCTTCTATTTATCTGCAATTCCACAGATGCGCATGAAACTGGGAAACAGAAATTTGTGCTCTGTTCACACGAGAGAGGAAAAATAATCTTAAAAGGCTGTTGTTTAGATTAGATTTTGGGGAAAGGGAGGGAGAAATCCTTCTTTCTAATTTGCCATGACATATTGCCAGTCTCCTGATAATTTATACAATGGATGAAACAGTTCCCAGTCTCCGGCACATCCCACGAATTGCACAATCGTTTGATTTCTTCTAAAGGGCTGCTCTCTCTGTTAATCTAAAAAGCTCGTTTTTTTTCCTTACGTACCTGCAAATATCACCGTCCATTCCACTTACAGGGATTTCTGTGCACTCCCCATTGTCCACAGCCCACTGCTGCCCAGCTCCACAGCAGCTCTCAATCAACTCCTTTGTGGAACCTGTAGAAAACATACAGCCACATTTTTTTTGTGTGGAACAGATTGGTTTTAGCTCGGTTTTCTTAACTGAGAAGATCTCTGAAATAGCAATCGTCCAGCTTTTTCTTCTTTTTTTTCTTTCTTTTTGCATTTCATTTGGTTATATGCAGATAAAGAAAGAGGCAACTGAGACCTGCAGTATCTTGACGTAATCAATCACCCAGTAATGTCTTTCAGGGAGGAACCACAGAAGCAAATTGGAGTTTTAAATACAGTACTGCTTTGAAGACAACTCCCCCTTTGACATCTGTGAACAAAAAAACCTGAAAAGTCATGCTTGGCCACTTAACACAAGTTGGTTTAATAAGTCATTATGCTGCTGTGACAGTGCCTTCACTACCACTGGCTGGGCTGGCACGAAGGTGTCCAAGTGAAGTTCACAACAGATGAAACCCAGCACACAGAGGGTACACAGCCGTGGCACACACGAGCCTCGCTAGTTCTCTTACACCAAATTGCAAATATGAACCTTCACTGGTGAGTAGCAACAAACTGAAACACATTCCTTGTCATGGTCCCTTAAAGTTCTTAGAACGTAGAATGAGTTCTTCTAGTAGGTTTGACATGTTAAGAAATTGTTTCCATATGAAATGTCACTCCTCAGCATTACCTAGAGAACATGTACCTAGAGTGTCCTACAGCTGAGTTTGAGGGTTAAGAAAACCCAAACCAGCCCTGAAGCCATTGGACCCTCACACTGTGCCCATCTCAGAGGGGTCTGATCACCAAAGCCATTGCTCTCCTCCCGTGCTGCCCATTCCTGCTCACACACAGGGACACATCACACCCTCACAAACTGCAGCCAGACTCCAGTCCCTGCAATGCCTCCATTTTATGCAGCATATTAACAACATTTAAAATATACCTGAGTCTTGAAAGCTGTATTACGTGCATATTATTGCTCTATGGCACAAGACGGGTGATATACGCAGTTAAACCAGGCAGGAAGTACACCTGGTACCAGATAATTACAAAACATTGCTATAAAACAGTTCTTCATCATAGTTTTAATTCAGTCCCTTGGTGGAAACTCCCATTCATTTTAACAAGTGCTGAAACACATTTGTTGCTACAGTGTTGCTAGGTTTAAAACAGAAGAATACAACAGAATTTACTATCTATATTGCAGTAATCGACATGATTTACAATTCAAATAAAAATTAACTACTCATCCCTCACTAAAGAGTCAATATCTGACTGCCGTAGTGAAGTGCCATACTATTAGAGCAGTCATATTTACAAAATATATTGCCTTTTGTTATGACCTTATGAATAATTAAATCTAGAATGCAGTTATAATAAAACGAACGAACTATTGCATTTTATCTCAATCAGGAATTAGAAAACTGAATAATTCATAACAGGACTCACAGTCATTAGCATGGATTTATGATATTTTGATTATACATTAGTAAAAACAAATATATACAACCAGACATGCACAAGACTGAAGATCACAAAGCTTCTATGCTGGATGGAGACTTTAAGCTATACGCATAACAGACTTTGAAATACCTAAACATTCAAACAGAGCTTTGTTTATTTGGGGCTTTCATGATATTAGCAGATTTAGAAGTAGATTTGCACCTGCTCACGGAAAACAAAGCCATTTTATTTGAGAACACCACAATCCTGAGTATTTGTTATACTGTGTGCATCTTTGATATTTCATATAGTCATTTAACAAGACAACCCTTAACAGATAATTTGCTATCTATGAATTTCTTCACTAGGAAAAAAAAAAAAAAGTAATTTATTTCTGGCTGTACTATAAAACAGCATCATGTCTCCTCACTTGTTTTCAATTTAGTAACTTATCTCCTACAATTATCACTCTACATCACTCTGAAGATATGAACTAAAGTACATTTTGGCCTAATCTCAAAAGTTTGTGTATTGTCTTTTAGAGACATTTAGAATTTAATTCAAATATTTAGGGAAACATTTCCCTCTCCTGAGAATTTTAACTCTTCCTTGACTGTGCTTTAGGCTGTCGTGGTGTCTCAGCACCAGGTCCAGACCCGACTAGTACAGGCTGCTAACCAGGGATTTCATCTTTCATATAGAAAAATCTGGTACGGGGGTGGGGATGGGGTGCCTTTTTAAAAGCTTTGCTGAAGCTCAAACATTACACTGAGGAAGACACACAGTTAAAGGGTACTAAATTATCCACCCCCACTCACACAGTGAACCCTACATTTGTTAAAATAGCAAAGGAGACACAAGGGATTTTCAAAAACCCTCCTCCCCCTATTCCCCCACAGGGTTCACAAATGATGTTTCGAGAGTGATAAAACATCAGCCAGCTCTAGGACTGCTCTAGAAGGGACAGAATATTTCAGTTTCTTGCCAGAGCCTTTTTGACGCTGCAGTTTCACTGGTTTCAGCTTCACCTGAAATGCCACTCAGAACATTTGAGCGGTTGAACGCCTCCGATTTCACTGCTTACCTCCATTCTCACCTCAGTTTGCAGCTCTGCAGAACATTTGCCTCGATTGACTGACTCCTATTGTGCAGGTATCCACTCTGAGAGCAAAGGCATTGACTCAGTGACTGAGCTATTAGGGACGTTTTATCCATCACTCTCCTGTTCTAAACTGTTTTTTGGTCCAAGCAGAGCACAGACAGACAAACCTTAAGACTTCAGCTTCCCAGCAGGGAGCACTGAGGGACCCATCCAAGCCTTCCACCCCTGAGTGGCAAGTGGTGGGTTCAATCTCAGCCACTAGCTTTAACAGTACCAAGATGTCATTCAGTTAAAATTAACTATTATTTTCCTTTCTACTAAAATTATTATCGGAGCCATGATGCATTAAAGAGTCCTAGACAAGTATTTATATCCACAGAGACAACCACGTAGGCAGACATTGTGCAGGAACTTGGATGTAAGACATAACTACTTGATCCAAGATATAGATAAAGCTCAAAACTGATATTATTCCCAAATGAGATTACCTATTAGTGAGAGAAAGCCAGCACACTGTTTTCCAGGTGAAGCCCAACTCACTGGGAATGTTGGCATTTCAGGAACAGTGTGACGTTGCCAGCCCCAGGCAGCTATGTCTGTTCACTGCTGGCTTTAATTTAAGCTGTTAATTGCTGGATGGGCACTCAGATGCAAAAGAGGCACTGTTCAAACCTCCAGGGTCACACCAACTCCCTGCAGCACCACAGGCTGGGGGGAAGAGTGGCTGGAGCTGCCCGGCAGAAAAGGACCTGGGGGTGTTGGTGGACAGACAGCTGAACATGAGCCAGCAGTGTGCCCAGGTGGCCAAGAAGGCCACCAGCATCCTGGCCTGTATCAGGAACAGCGTGGGGAGTAGGACTTGGGAGATGACCATCCCCCTGTCCTGGGCACTGGTGAGGCCCCACCTCGAGGGCTGTGTCCAGTTCTGGGCCCCTCACCACAAAAAAGACCTTGAGGGGCTGGAGCGGGTCCAAAGAAGGGCAACGGAGCTGGTGGGGGGTCTGGAGCACAAGTCTTGTGAGGAGAGGCTGAGGGAGCTGGGGGGTTCAGCCTGGAGAAGAGGAGGCTGAGGGGAGACCTTCTTGCTCTCTCCAACTCCCTGAAAGGAGGGTGCAGCCAGGGGAGGGTTGGTCTCTTCTCCCAAGGAACAGGCGATGGGACAAGAGGAAATGGCCCCAAGTTGCACCAGGGGAGGTTCAGATTGGATACTGAGAACAATTTTTACATGGAAACGGTTATTAAGCCTTGGAATGGGCTGCCCAGGGAAGTGGTTGAGGCACCATCCCTGGAGGTGTTCAAAAGCCTGGTTGACACTGTGCTTAGTGCCATGGTTTAGTGATGGTTTTTTTATCAGCGTTAGGTTGATGATGGTTGGACTAGATGATCTTAGAAGTCCCTTCCAACCTGGACAATTCTATGATTCTATGACTAAGCTGAGCTCTTGTTCTTATAATGGAAGCACGCTATTCAGTCGCTATACCTGAGGAATATAATTTGCCTTGCCCAAAACTATAGTACTTACCTTTGGGGTAGAGGAGGGAACTAAAAGCCAACAAACAACACGGGATCTCACATGGAAATGAGTCTGAGATTAATTTTGATGTGGAACCTTCCAGAAATGAGGCACTCCATTAAGACGCATCTCTAATTGGAGGCCCTCATTGCAAATCCACAGGGGAAGCCAACAGCCATGACTCTCAAGCTACAACATAATTTTGGAAAAAAACCCCAAACAACTGCACAAACTGCCCGAGTCCCATCCTGGCATAAACCAGCCACCCCATGGAGCTCGGTGGAGTGGGCTCTCAGCCCAGCATCACCTGCGACACAGCAGGTTAATGAACGAGCCTTGGAGAGCAGCTAATGAGCCTGCCCATGGCAGATAACGAGTTCCCAAGCAGCAGAGCAGGAAGGCTGACTCCCGAGGTACCAGAGAGCACCAGCACCTTCTCACATCTATAAAGCAGGCTGTCATTTGGCACAAAGGCAGATCCAGGGGAACGGGTTGCCTTCACCTGCTGCGACCACCCTCACCCACCAGAAATGAGTGGAGAAAGAACAGAAGTGGTATTAAAGCAGGACAGGGGCAGTTTCCATCACCTTTCCGTGAGCACACATGCCCAGATCAGAGCCGAGTGTGGCTTTTCCTGTCTAGTCAGTGCTCATGGCTTGTTTCCCACTCTCCTACAAAGAAAAGCCAAAACACACCTTGAAGATATGTTTATAGTTTTATATATATCTGTTCATCTTTCCTTTTAACCGAAGGGGTATCCAGACCCGCGACGCACCCAGCACATGCATTTCACAAGACTTGTTTGCTCACACCGGAGAAAAAGGTATTGTATTTCCTTATCAAATACCTGCCCGAAAACATAAAACCCTATTCTGTGGCAAATAATGAAGAAGAAATTCATAGGACGGCAATTAACTTGATAGAATTCCTCAAATACTGAAAAATACCTGTTGCCATTGGGTCTCTTTTCTGCTTCGATCT